GGTGAAGGACATTAACGATAACCCGCCTAGGTTCTCCAGGCAAGAACAAGAATTTCGTATTTTAGAGTCAAGAATGCCAGATTCGCGGTTTCCAGTAGAGGGCGCTTCTGATTTGGATATTGGAGAAAACGCAGAATTGAAATACAAGGTAAATCCTAATGAATATTTTGACTTGGATGTTAAAAGAAATCAAGAAGAAACGAACGTTTTAGAGCTGATCTTGAAGAAACCTTTAGACAGAGAAGAAATTCAAGAACATCGTTTAGTACTAACCGCAACTGATGGAGGAAAACCTGAACTAACAGGTACAGCTCAGTTATTGATTGACATATTGGATGCGAATGATAACGCCCCAGAATTTGATAAATCCATTTATAATGTCAGATTGTTGGAAAATACACCGAGGGAGACGTTAGTTATTAAACTTAATGCCTCAGATGCAGATGAGGGTATTAATAAGGAAATAGTATATTTTTTCAGTAATCTGGTTCTTGATGATGTAAAGTCTAAATTTATGATCAATTCTAATAGTGGAGAAATAAAAGTTAAGGAAGAACTAGATTATGAGAGAAGGAATTTATATGAAATTAATATTGATGCCGTGGATAGAAGTCCCTTCCCATTAACAGGACACTGTAAAGTGATTGTGAAACTTCTGGATGTGAATGATAATACACCCAAGATCGCTATAACTTCTCTTTTTCTGCCTATCAAAGAAGACGCTCCCATGGGCACCGTCATTGCCCTTATCAGCGTATCTGATCGTGACTCAGGTTCCAACGGGAAGGTGACCTGTTCCCTGAAACCTCACATCCCCTTCAAGCTAGTGTCCACTTTCAAGAATTATTATTCTTTGGTGTTGGACAGCACCTTGGACCGGGAGAATATATCTGACTATAAACTAGTAGTGACAGCGCAAGATGGGGGCTCTCCCTCGCTGTCGGCCTCGGCCACCGTGTCCGTGGAGGTGGCCGACGTGAACGACAACGCGCCTGTGTTTGCGCAGCCCGAGTACACGGTGTTCGTGAAGGAGAACAACCCGCC